ATTTTTACAAGTGAGTGTTTTTTGAATTGAAATCTCAATTCTTAAATTCATACGGGATGCTGGATTTGCATCTGTCATACGAAAGACCCCGGATATTCCCCTAACTAATTTTTAAAATATTGCGAAAAAATTAGTTAGAGGGATATCCGGGGTCTTTCATATATGAGATGCAAATCCAACATCCCGTATGAATTTAAGAATTGAGATTTCAATTAAAAAAACACTCGTAAAAATTTACAAGTTGAATTCGTTACATGTGTATATATATATACACGCGCAGTTTCCGCTCAAACATCCTGCGAATGGCTCGTAAGGCCTTATATATTTCTTGTTACTAATTGTGCTTTGTTAAATATATTATTTTTTGATATAACAATTATTTTAACAATTAAATGAGCTCGAGAAAAAAATAAAATCGGATGCTTGGGCAGATGTGAGCCAAAACGCAAGATGTTCGCGTAAGTGAATTTTCATTTGATTCCAAAAACATTACAAACCCGTTTCTCGACCCGTTTCGGATTTTTGTGTTCAGTGTATGAGCAAATTATATAATATACAAATTATAAAGAAGGCCACTCATAGTGTGAAGCATTAATCCCGCTGCTCCTCAGCAAACAATTGAGGACAGCAAAACACACACATTACAAATTGTTACAATTATTTTTGATAACACTTCGAAGTATTCGGAAACGAACATGTAATGTAGATTTTCTGAATTCGAAAGTTTAAGCGCGTCTCGTTATTTGTAAATTCGCAATCTCACTTACATCTCCATTTTGTTTAGATATTGTTCCATTAATGCTCATCCGGCACTTTTGCGCTCGGGTGTACTGGCAACACAACAATCGATAAGATCCGTTCACGTTAATGATACGCGCTACTGACTCCAACAGATGTAGATGTGCATGTGCAAAACGCGATACGCGCGCGCACGCAGAGAGAACACGAAGAGGAGAGAGCACGTAATAACAAAAGAGCACCGCGCGCTATACCATTCGCCGTTTATACTTTCTTCCGCAAAAAAGTCACTCGTGTATCAGAGTGATTGCATCGAGATTTGCACCAAAACGGTCCGCCGAGAGATGATCGGAAAAGCGAAGCCCTGATGATTCGAGATCGTAATCGCGGACGTGTACCTGAAGAGAAAACCGTAACGGTTTTACGGGTTAAAACTAGAAGTTCTCCGGAGGTAGTGAGAGAGCGTGCGAGCGCGCGGCGGCGGCGGTTCGGTCTGAGAGCGAAGGGGGTAGGTGAGCGACGGGGTAGAAGCGGCTGCCAGTAGCGCGGCAGGGGTACGCGGAGGGTGAAGGAAGAATGGTGACGAGTTCGGTTTACGAGAAGAAGAGAGGGGTAGAAAAGCGGGGTGGGGATCGGCCGAGACGTAGAAGATCGGGCTAGTGACTGTGCTCTGGGGGTAAACGCAAACCCGTTAGGTGGGGGCGGCGAATAGTAGGGGTAGGGATGGCGGCACGACTTTGGGAGATGGAAGCAGCTGAGAGCAGTGCGAGTAGGTCACACCGTCGACCGGAACGGTAGTCCGCGTAGTTTTGGCGAACGGTTGGCTCTCGCCTTGTCTCGCACAAGATATAATTTCTGATCTTTCGTGATCTTCTCTCAATTGATCCTTTCTCTGTCCTTTCTTCGTATATCCTTCAAATGCAGCTTCTCACGCGCGACTAAGCCGAGACGGTCCTTCTCGTCCGGCCGTTTTCTTTTTTAAACACCGGCTTGTTTCTCAACATTTGCGATCATCTATATATCCAGACGGGACGATCACAGAGACCGTCCTTCTTCGAGAAAGTGGCGCTCAAATGATCATCAAGTAGCCGAAGTATTTATCGGTCTGAAACATTCGTCTTGGCCGCCACCGACATTCTTTGGAGAGAGAGAGAGAGATTGTTTCATTTTTCTCGTGTTTCATTCCAGTCTTCATTGATACCGGGAATAAATATGATACAGTCGAATGTCACCTCAACATTTTCGCGCTAGATGACGGATAAACTTCTCTTTGATACACAACGGAAACAACGAAGAAAACTTAAGTGGTGAAAAGAAAAAAGAAAAGGACGGGGGAAGAGAGCGGACGAAAATTAAGAGAGATTATTAATGGTGCCTTTTTCACGGTACGTCGCGCGTTCCAAATACCGACGGCATTCCTGACGCTTCTTTCAGTGCGTGTGTGGAAGAACGTGCTTCCGTAAAGAACGTGCTATTTGAAGAGAAGAACTTCGGAGCCAAGCGTGGCGGAAAGAAACTCGCACTCCGCGTCCGTTCGCGGACTCATCCAGGACTATATAATGTGATCGTCAAATATACCGTTGTTTGTATCCGAGAAGAGGACGTTCAATTGTTGCCGTTGTTGCGTTTGTTTGTTGTTTGTTGTTTTTGATCAAGCGCGTCGGATTGATTCTTATCTTTCTGGCGCGTGCGGTTCAACTCACGCATTTCCGGCATTCCTGGAGATGCGGGATATAGTTCGGTACAGGCGCGTGCACACGTAACTTTCGTATACAACATAATATATATATGTATATATATATAATATTACGCATACACACACATATGTGGGAACGTGTCATCAGTTTTACACGCGAGTCCCATTAGCGACACTTGCGTAATCTAGGACATTTAAAGAGCGCCACAATTGTGCGATAATTTTAACGACCGCTATTCAATAAAACATAACGAGCAAACCAACCATTTCGAAATTGGGTTAAATTGAAGACTTTCAAATCGTCGGGCCGAACTTCCGAATTGTAAAGTCGCGCCCTGTGCTGATGACGTTTCTTTTGAAGAAACCTTTTTTTTTCTCTTATCTCGCTTAAAGATAAGCATTCTTATTGACAGAACGTGATCAATGAAAGGCCAATAAAAACGGAAGGCCGCGCAGGTAAATAATTGAATGGAAAAAAAACGAAGAACTAATACAAGCACTCGGGACGAGAGCGTAAGAAATAATAGAACGTGTATATAGAACGTGAAAGTGTAGCAAAGAGGAAGAAAAAAAAGAAAAAAAATTAAGTAACGACAATAAATTGATGTAATAAAAATTGTCGATCGACGCACGAATCAGAACTATATAACGCGTTATCGAGCGACATTGGAGGAGAAAGGGTGAATTACCTGCGTCTCCAACGAGAACATCGAACTGATCCGTCGAAGCCAATCCAAGTTCGCGTGTTATTGCGCTTTTCATCATCGTAAAGTTTCTTTCTTACGCAGTGTAAGAAGATACACGCGCAATACGTATCGGGCGCAAGTGAGAGATCGAAACCGCAGCCAAACGACAAAAAAAAAAAAAAAATCGAATCATGAAACGTGAGACGTCGACGAGCCGCCAGCGAATCGTCAGGGCGCACATAGAGTGCATTGCCGTTGGGAGATAAAGCGGGAGGAGGGTAAGAGCACTCGTTTCCGTCCGAGTATCTTTCACGACGGACGATTAAGTCGATTGAGAGTTCGCGGAACGCATCGAATACTCTTCCGAATCGTCTTCTTTACGCGAGGAGGTAATAAAAACGAAAATGGAAATCGCGGCGTCGGCTATGTTAGACGGCCTGAAAAACAATCGTATCGGCAAGTTGGCGCTGTCACGGTTCTTATCGCAGAGTCTGTAAGTAAAAATTCTATCCTAGCCGCTCTCTAGAGTGGGGCACGAAATTCTGGTCTAGGCCAGAGTCAAGGCGTCGACGATGACCAATGAAACATTAATATGCATGGATTGTTTGTCGCATGTTACGTTTGTTTGCATGCGATCTAATTTCTTCATGCATTAGCGCGCACGTGCTGACATATCGGAAACATTTTCTCGTGTAACGCAGTTTTGCGTTCCGAGCATCTCGTATCTTGGAAAAAAAAAACGAGAACTATTTTAAGATCGATTACACAAACAAAACTGAGAAAATCACAATTTGTAGGCTTTTTTTTTCATTTTTTATTTCATTTACGTTACACAAAAGTTTTATATTATTATTTCAAAAAGTTCTATTTATTTTATTTTCAATTTTATTTATTTTACAATGTGAAACAAAATCTATTGTTGAGATTTGTCACAATTTTATTCGTGTCACAATGCGACTTTGAAAATAGTAAATTATAATAAAAGACTTAAGTGTTATTAAGCTCTTATTTTAATGATCCATTTAACAATGAGACATTAGTGGAACGTAATAACAATTGGTTTCTGCTATTTTACGTGACGTAACTCTTGAAAATTATATGTTTTCTAAAAGCAACGAATAGCGCAATAAATTAACCGAATGAAAATTAATTCTGCTGGTGTAGGTTTGGTTGGGTTAGATTACATTACTCCACACGAATTATGTAGAACACACACCACAAGCGGCATGACTGAAATGTCAATAGCGCATTACAGATAACGTAATAAACAACATATAAACTTAATCTAGCATTTGAGTTTAACAATTACACAAGTACAGTATCATATAAATAAGTATATGTCTTGTGTGTGTTATATAAAAAATATAAACTTGTCGAAATAATTAAAGTTATCTCGATTGGAATTCTATAATTATGTCCCCGAGTCGAAATTTAGCGTCTAAATTGAGCCTCAATTTTTCTTTTTTGATGTAGGAGTAAGAGAGAAAGTAGATCCTACTTTGACGCTGCTATACGTCCGAAATTTTCTTTTTTCCTGCTTAAGTTTTAAAGTAGGGTTCAATTCTCAGATCAACCTGCGCATTGCAGGCTCTGATAGGCTCAAAATAAATTCTGATAGGCTCAAAGTAGGAGTAAGAAAAAAAGTAGATGCTACTTTGACGCTGCTGTACGTCCGAAATTTCCTTTTTTCAAAAATTGAGGTTCAATGTAGACGCTAAATTTCGACTCGGGTCGTGATAGGGTGCGAGACGCAATTAAAGATACTTATCGAATCAAAGATACTTAAACGGAGAGAGTATCAAAATACATATTCAAGTTCATTTCGTTGTGCATTATATAAAATAAAATGTATAATTTATACGAACGCAAAACATATATTTTAAATTAATATGTATTCTACATATCGAGATGATTAAACGCGATATTTAAATCGCGTTAAATTAATGTATGCATTACAAATGCACGCATATACGTTGTGATGTTTTATTTATTTGGTTTCCCTGTTGATTCGATCCTCGCAACTCTTTAATGAATCCAACTTGCATTAAACATGTAGTCGATGTATTTTGTATGCATGTTCAGCGCTCGTACGTGTCACCGCATTTTTATCGAGACGTTGTGATTGTCGATACTCCTCGTCTTCAATCACCGTAGTAAGTGTATTCCGAGAAATTTACAATAAACATGATGTTTATACGTACACACATAGTTCATCCGAATTGACGTGTGTGTGTAAGTGGTTAACGACACTTATCTCAAGTACTCTCTTGTCGCGCTTTTTTGAAATTGATTCTTTTTTTTTTCGTTTACTTTCGGGGTCGTACCTTTGGAATCGCTGAAAAAAACATTTGACAACTCAATTGCAGAAAAACGTGCAAAACATTTTTGTTTTCGTATTCCACGTAATTTCCAAGAGATACTTAAAAAATTTCATACAATTTTGTATTAGAGAAGAAAGACAAGGATTGTAAAGTGGAAATTACATTTTTGCGAAAACTGCTGCTCGAATCTATCGGTAGTTATATACTCATTAGAAGCATTAAATTTTGTTAGGTCACTCGAGAGAACTGGCATCAAAATGACACGTTGCATTTAGACGCGAAAACAAGTAATCTGTTTTACGAAAGTGCGATGTTGCCGCAAGATTTAACAATGTTATCTGTGTTAATGTTCTTTCTAACATTAGCTCTTATGTCTCAATTAATACTAAGAAGAAAGTACAAAATAGTAAGTGTTAATTATTGAAAAATATTTGTCTTTCGGTGAGAGACATTAAGGACGTTCTCCGAATTATTGATTTTCCTAGGATTTTCTTTAAATTTGCGATATACATAGTTTGATGATCTTATTTATACGAAGTCTTTTTGGATAATAGGGGTAGCAATGTTAAATTCCAAAATATGGAAGATTTAAGTTTCAATTTTTAATATGGATTTCCTATGCTGAGCCTTTGCGAAGTGGGGTTTTTTAAAGTTACTGACGACAATTTTTGTAGGATTTTTTTAAAAAACAAGTATGTGGTAGCGGAGAGTGTCTTAATTAAAATACGATTTTGAATAATATGGCAAGCAACCCTTGTTTTCAAACTGTAGCTTTTTTTTTGTTTTTTTGGGGGGTTTTTTTTGTTTTGCTGGATTTATTTGCGCTGTGTACTGCAGCTATTTTTGAACTTCTGCGCAGAGTAAGCGGATCTTGGCAGTGCTGAATAGCTCAACTTAACTTTGTTACAGCAGTACAAACTTACTCATGAGAAGAGATATTTTAGGTTGCTAACCACTGTATTTAGGTTGCTAACCACTGTAGTCGGAGAACGTCCTTAAAGTGTTTTGAAAACGACGCTTGATGGTAATATGAAAAAAAGATGTTTATTTGCCGGAAATAGGCTCGTATATTGTGTACTGAGTGTAAATATAAAATTTTTATTTGCAATTTTTGTTCTTAAATCCTTAAACATATTGTAAATTATTTATCTATAGTTTTTTGTTTTAGTAATGTTTTATTTTTCAATAGTTTTTTATGCTTTTAATAAATTTAATTTATTGATGATTGTTTTTTTTCAGTTTTATAAAAAAATCATTAGAAAAAAATAAAAGTTGAATAATAAAATAACTTATAATGCTCTACAAGATATGACTTATGTACGATATGTATACTTTAAGAATATATTCTTCTGTCTAATATTTTTTAATGACTATTATATTTTAAAGTGTTTCCCGAGTCGAAATTTTGATGCTACTTTCAAACTTTTGAAGATACTTTGAACCTATTTAACTGACCAATATACTTATTTAAACCTACTTTGACGATTATATTCATTTACTCCTCTTCTGAACCTTTAATTCTATAAATTTTACGTTACTCCTAGTTTGAACCTAAAAACACTCTCGATATTTTAGTGATTAAAGTAGGTTCTATTGTACTGGAGTCGAAATTCAGCGTCTACATTGAACCTCAATTTTTCTTTTTTTATGTAGAAGTAAGAGAGAAAGTAGATCCTACTTTGACGCTGTTATACGTCCGAAATTTCCTTTTTTTTTTGCTAAAGTTTTATAAAGTATACTTTAAAACTATAGTTCAATTCTCAGATCAGACTGCGCATTGCAGGCTCTGATAGGCTCAAAGTAGGAGTAAAAAAAAAAAGTAGATGCTACTTTAACGCTGCTATACGTCCGAAAATTCCTTTTTTCCTGTAAAGTAGGGTTTAAATTTCGACTCAGGTATCATTGATAATTTTACATTCAGTATTTTAATTCTAAACTTTAGTTTCATATTTCTATCATTTTTTATATACATAAATATAAAAAGAATAATATCTGAAATGTATACATATCTGAAAGTATGTATATTAAAAAAAATATGTTATGATTATTACAGTTTTTTCTATTAAATTATAATTTTTATAGTGCAATATAAACCGCAACAATTTAAACAGAATATTACAGGTGAACGAGCTAATAATTGTTGCCCGTAAAAGTGATTTAACAGCAAGGCAAGCGCGCCCGCGCTACATAAGAAAACAAAGCGTATATAGCCGCGGGTTAAGATCCACTCAACCCGTGTTGAGATATAATGGACGAGATGTGATCTGAAATTGATGCGAAAATTGAAGTAGCACACATTAGACTCTCACGCTATTTATTCTTTCCGGACATTCGTGTGATTGTAATAGACGTAATCATAATCCTCTTAAAGAGTTTGATGCAATTATTCATATTGTTTTCTGAAACTTGTAACTGAAATACAGAAATATGCGAAATATCATATTTTATACAACTAACTTCTGGAGGAAAGTGAGTTGAGGTTTGAATTAAAATCTTCTCAACTCGAAAACTTCGCTAATGTTCGTGTTCACTAATTCCGATGAACTTAATCGATCGATAATTCTGTTGGAGCCGACCATTGTATTCGTCATTGGTTGATTGACTAAAATGACTAATTGCGATTGACTAGCAATCGATCGATTAAGTTAATCGGAGATGGTGGAAACGGGCATAAGTTATATAATCTGATCTTTTACTTTGCTAGATCGCCGTTGCGTGTGTGAAACGAGGAATAAATATACCATGTATGTACTGGCTATTCCCACTTTCATCGACAGATCAGATTAAAGTACTTATACCGCGGCTTCTTAGCAGCGCATGTTCGAGAAAAGTATGATGAATTGCGCGAATTTCTCCTGTCACAGCTTATCCTATATCTCGTCTCCGTCACTTTCTTACGCTTGTTTGTTTCATATCGCGAAGTGCAAAGTAATAAATCGTCTATAGCTTCTCTCTCGTGAGTCCGATATACGAAAAAGTAGAAATCCTTGTTGAAAAATGAAACCACCGCAAGATGAAACGCGATTATATTGTATTTGCAATTAAAAAATGCTTGATTTAAAATACGACGATGATAGAGATCTTTTTTATGACGCGCGATCTTTAATTGTAGGTTTTCACTCACAAAAATAATTAACGCGCTCTTGAAATGTGTGGAACAATGTTAAGAGAG